GTTTTTGATATCTAGCATTATGAACTTAAAACATACTCAGTGATTTCAGCCCTTTGACATTTGTGTGAGACTCACTTATGGCCTAGAATATGGTCAGTATTTGTATATACTCCATCTATCTTTGGGGGAAAAAAGGTATTTCACAGGTTTTGAGTCGAGTGTTCATTTATATATGTCAGTTAAATCAAGTTTGTTAATTGTGTTCAAATCTTCTATATCCTTATTGATTTGGGTGTTCCATACTGAGAAAGGTATGTTCAAATGTACTGTGATTGTGGATTTGTCTGCTCTTCCTTGTAGTTCTGTTGATTTTTGCTTAATGTAATTCAAACCTATATTTTTACTTGAAAACAAATTTAGAATTATCTTTATGTTTTGAATTTTATATAATTATAAAATGTTTTGCTTTATCACAAATGCATTTTACTTTAAAGTCTACTTAGTCTGATATTTTAATATCAGACAGCTTTCTTATGGTTAGTTTTTGCACAGGGCATGTGTTTCTTTCCATCTTTTCACTTCAGCCTTTTTCTTCCCTTATATTTAAGGTGTGTCTCTTAGCGTACCATATAGTTGAGTTTTCTGTGTTTGTATTTTGTCTGACAGCTTTTGTCTTTTAATTAGAACACTTAGTTTGCTTGCATTTAATGTAATTACTGATGTTGGGTTGTTGGAAAAGTCGACACATTTTTGCAATGAAAAACAGAAAAATACGTCATGACTTTTCCGATAACCCAATATATTTGGATTTTAATCTCCTATTTACTTTTTGATTTTTATTTGTCCTGTTTTGTATTCTTTGCCTCTCCTTTTTTGTCTTTGGGTTATTTTTCATTATTTCATATTTTTCTCTATATTAGAAAATATGTAGTAATTATATACATACTCTATTTTTAGTGGTTACCCTAGATAATAGTACTTTGACTTATTAAACGCTAACATAAATTTCTAATTTTATCTCTTTCCAAGCAACGCAGAAATCTTAGAATACTTTAACTCCAATTACCCCACTTTAATGCTACTGCTGTCAAGCATTTTACTTTTATATGTGTTTCAAGCTCTGTGTAAGACATTATTTTTAAAGTCAGTATTTATTTAGAACTCCCACAAATTACCCTTTTTGTTGATATTTATGCCCACATCTCCAGGCTTCCATGTATTAATAGCTCATTTTTTGCATAAAGAACACCCTATAGTATTTAATTTAGGTCTGCTCTGCCGGTAATAAACATGATAGTTTTTTCTCTTGTTTTTCTTTCTCACCTGAAATGGTCCTTTCTTTCACATTTATTCTTGATGTGGGTATACAATTCTAAGTTGGTAGCTATTTGCTTTTAAGATATCATTCTGTTGTTTCCTAGCTTCTTTTTTTTCTGATGAAAACTTTTCAGTCAGTCTATAAGTCATTTCCACCTATTCTCTGAAAGATTCTTCTCTTTGTCTTTAGTTTTCAGCAGTTTTGCTGTAGTGTGTGTCAAAGTGATTTAAAAATAAAATATCCTTGGTATTTTGTAAAACTTATTTAATTTATAGTTTAATCTTTGAGCAATTTCAGAAAATTCTCAGACTAGATTTTTTTAAGTGTTGCTTTGGGTTAATTTTCTTTCTCTAGGTTTCTGGTTTTAAGTATATTAACACTTCTGACAACATCCCTTCTGTCTCTTACAGCCTCCTTCTTTTCCATCCTTTCGCCTCCATGCTTCTTTCTGTATATTTTCATCTGACTTATTTTCTAGTTCACTAGTTCTCTATTTAGCTATGAGTAGTCTGCTTTTAAAGCTGAAAAACCCACTGAGTTTTTCAGCTCTGGAATGTCTGTTTGGTTCTCTTTTGTAGTTTCCAGTTTTCTGTCTAATTCTTGAAATTGTTTTTTAATCTGTTTGAGTATGCTAAGCATAGTAATTATTTTAAAGTCTGTGTTTGATAACTGAATTATTTGGGTCTTCTTTTGGGCTTTTCTGTCAGCTCTTATTTCTGTTAGTTTTTTGTATTGTGGTTCCTTGTTTTCTCTTCTGTCCACCATTTTTGATGGGATACTAAAATGAAGAATATAAAAAATAATTTGACAGTATGACAGTATTTTCTTCTAAATAGTATTTGTATTTGCTTCTGGCTTTTGATAATATATATGAGCAATCCTGGATTACTTTAATATTGAGATATTTTAAATGTAGACCTTCAGAGCTGTAACTCAAAGTTTAGGGAGATTTTAAAGTTCCCTTCTTAGTGGATCCTGGACTTCAGTTTATTCCCCTAGCCTGAGATTTGCATCTGCCTCTTCCAGAAGTGGTAGAGGCCACTGGGGGAAGCTCCCCCAAATTCTGGAATATATTTCTATAATTTTCTTTCTTTTCCTGGATGTTGTCCCCTTGTTAGGCGCTTACATGATACCAAACAGTTTTTTTTTTAAACATTTTATTGGGGAATTGGGGGAGGGGAACAATGCTGGGGAATCGGGGGAAGGGCAGCAGACAAGTTGCTGGCCTTTTTATTCTTCAGTCTAGTTGTGGAGGATGTCGCTTCACTGGCCCATGTTGGTATTATCAGTGTGCTCTTCCCGGGTGAGGCAGATTGGTCGCTGGCCTCTGGACGGCCGCTCACAGCGGCTCTTGGCAGCTCACACTGGCTGCTGGCCGCTCATGCTGGCTGCCAGCCACCCAGTAGCTTATGGCAGCCCACTGCAGCAGGGGCTGCAGCCTACGCTGTCGCCGTGACTCATGGCAGCCCAGCTCCAGGTTGAGCTGTTGTTCACCATCTTAGCTGCAGAGCAGTGTCACTGGCCCTCATGTGAGATCTGAACCGGGACCCTGCTGCTCAGAGCTGGCGTCCCAAGCCAGCTCTTAACCAGGCAGGCCCCCAAAAAGATTTTTAAATGTACATTTTTCAGCTTCTCTAGTTTCTAGTGAGAAGATGATCATATTACGCCTGCCATTACTAGATATAAAAGTCTTCCTTATTCTTTTTTAAACCACCATTGTTTTTCAATATATGATGTATTCAAAATATATATTCTGTATTTTTCCAATACAGCAATTCAGTTAATTAAAAACACTGGATTTCGCTTCATTCTTATCCTTGATTTTATTACTGAATAGAGAAGAATGCCATCTAAGCCTTCTCTTTATATTTCTCTTATGTTGTCTATTTTTTTAGAGAAAAATGAGAATATTAGGGATTCTTAATTCAAAAAAGATTTTTAAATATACTTAGTAATAGTCATGTTTAATTGAAATTATTTTGAGCAAATGAACATCAGCATTTTGAAGTTCTGGGCTCTCTCAGTGCTTGAATACCATACACGTTGCTAAAACATTCTGACAGACACTATTCCATTGTAGACCATTGAAATCCTGGGTCAGAATAAATATCCAGATAATTTAGTCCCTTTAGATACCGTAGAAGACTAAATAGGATAAACTCGTGGAAAGATTAAAGTCCTAATATATTACAATTTTTACATTTTTGGAATTTTAGTTTTAGATTTGTTATGTGAAGTATTCAGGTTTAAACTACTTTCTAGTACACATGCTGTGTCAGGGGCCCCGAAGGTCACCCCCATGTTTGGAGGTGACCCAGCATATAGTTGTACTCATAGCTAAGATTTATTACAGTGATGTAATAATGACACGCAGCTGGGTCATAAAGCGAAGGCACAGGTGAGATCTAGGGGAATCTATGTGCAGGCTTTCTTATGTTCTCCTACTCATGATAGGTCACACAGAGCACTGTCTTCCCCTTAGCAATGTAATGCGCGTGTGCATTGTTTCTGCCCAGAGAAACTAATCTAATTAGAGACTCCGTGCCCAGGATTTTTATTGGGTGCTAGTCATATAAACAAACACCCTTTCCTGAGCACATATCCAAAATTCTAAAATCCCAAAAGGAAATCAGGCGTTCAGCATAAACTGCATTGTTTGTACAAACAGTGAGCTACCCTTGTCATTTAGGAAAATTTCTGTATCTTGTGTTTACCTACCAGGTTCCCAGATGCCCGCTAAGGGCTGTCCTTGTAAGCAGGTCTGTCTCAGCCAGCTCTGTTAACTCCTTTCTGCACACATGCCGAAAATGACTCACTGTTCAAATTTATTTAAACACTGTATGTGAATATCAAAGGTCTGCATGATAATTTTTGTTGTGGTAATTAGTAAAATGTTTATCATTAAACTTTAGTAGCTAAAATACTTGGGTGGTTATTGTGTCTTAATATGTTCCACAGGGTTTTACTAATGTGCCAGTGCTTGTTGTTAGTTTTAATCCATGTGTGGGAAGAACAGGACTTCATTAGAACATTTAGTACCTCTGAAAAGATTGTTTAAAATTAAATTACAATGGGAAATAATCTATTATGAAAAGACTTGAGATGTCTCCTTTTAAACTTCATATTGAACCACCCACATATTTTTCAGATTTCAGTGGACTTGTTTTTCTTATGAGACCTTTTTGAAAAAAGTAGTTTGTTACCAAGAATTTGGACTAAAACAGTTGAAGTTCGCTTGGCAATCAGAAATACTGAAAAAAATAATTTCTGACTACTATTAGAATCAAATTGGAGAATCTTAGATATTGTAGAGTACATTTCTCGTTTCTTTATGTGGAAGCTGACCCAGAAATAAGTGTCTGTCAGCAAAACTGAATAGCTGGTTAATTTCATTTCATCAGTTTTTAGTTATAGAATATATACTTGAAGACATTATTAGAAATACCAAGAGGCCATGGATTACTTTTGAATTTCATCTAGTGACTGGATATCTTTTCATGCCTAATTTGGCTATTTCATTTATTCAACAAATTTAACAACTATTTCTTTAACCCCTGCTATGTGTCAGACATTAGTTTTAGGTGCTGGGGATGGTTTTTTCTTATTTTTAATCAATTAAAGTATGTCCCATTAAAGGGCGGCTTGGAGCTGCCTGCTTTTCTTTAGGTTCTAAAGTATATAAATGTATTACATTGTATCCTGGTCCCTCAAAATATGTTACCTCTTTTTTCTTCTCTTTAAGGTAATACTGCATTGCATGATTGCGCAGAATCTGGAAGTTTGGACATCATGAAGATGCTTCTTATGTATTGTGCCAAGATGGAAAAGGATGGTTATGGAATGACTCCCCTTCTCTCAGCAAGTGTGACCGGTCACACAAATATTGTGGATTTTCTGACTCACCATGCACAGACCAGCAAGACGGAGCGGATCAATGCTTTAGAGCTTTTGGGAGCCACATTTGTAGACAAAAAAAGAGATCTACTTGGGGCTTTGAAATACTGGAAAAAGGCAATGAACATGAGATACAGTGATAGGACTAATATAATTAGCAAACCAGTGCCTCAGACACTGATAATGGCTTATGATTATGCCAAGGAGGTAAACAGTTCAGAAGAGCTGGAAGGCCTTATCGCTGATCCTGATGAGATGAGAATGCAGGCTCTGTTAATTAGAGAACGAATTCTTGGTCCTTCTCATCCTGATACCTCTTATTATATTAGATATAGAGGTGCTGTCTATGCAGACTCTGGAAATTTCAAACGATGCATCAACCTATGGAAGTATGCTTTGGATATGCAGCAGAACAATTTGGACCCTTTAAGCCCAATGACTGCCAGCAGCTTATTATCTTTTGCAGAACTGTTCTCTTTTATGCTGCAGGATAGGGCTAAAGGGCTGCTGGGCACCACTGTTACATTTGATGATCTTATGGGCATACTGTGTAAAAGTGTCCTTGAAATAGAGCGAGCTATCAAACCAATCCATTGTCCACCTGACCCATTACAGTTAAATAAGGCTCTTTCCATCATTTTGCATTTAATTTGCTTGTTAGAAAAAGTTCCTTGTACTCTAGAACAGGACCATTTCAAAAAGCAGACTATATACAGGTTTCTTAAGCTGCATCCAAGGGGAAAGAATAACTTCAGTCCTCTTCATCTGGCTGTGGACAAGAATACTACATGTGTAGGGCGGTACCCTGTTTGTAAATTTCCATCTCTGCAAGTTACTGCGATACTGATAGAATGTGGTGCTGATGTGAACGTCAGAGACTCTGATGACAACAGTCCCCTACATATTGCTGCTCTGAACAACCATCCAGATATCATGAATCTTCTTATTAAATCAGGTGCACATTTTGATGCCACAAACTTGCACAAACAAACTGCTAGTGACTTGTTGGACGAAAAGGAAATAGCTAAAAATTTGATCCAGCCCATAAATCATACCACATTGCAGTGTCTTGCTGCTCGTGTCATAGTGAATCATAGAATATATTATAAAGGGCATATCCCAGAAAAGCTAGAGACGTTTGTTTCACTTCATAGATGATAATTTGACTGTATTTTAGCACTGTTAAAGCACGAATTGTTAACAGTTGTTTCATAAATGAGCACTGTTGTGATAACACCAGCATTCATTTAGCTTGATATCATCGTGCTCTCATTGGCTAAAGCATTATAAGCATCAAATTTACAGGATTGGTTTCCCAGTATTTAATATAAATATACCATATAATATATTGTTTGTGAATTTTTGAGAAATGTAATGTCATATTCAAATTTCTAAAATTGTCTGCCAAAGGCTTATCCATTCTAGTTTTGTTTGCTGTTGGTTGTTTGGGAGAGTTAACCATTTTTCAGTGGTGTGTATACTTTTCTGGTTTGTGAATTTTATACAAATGAAGGTCTTTTTTTTCTGCTCCCTTCTCTTTTTCAAGCTTCTCCCGTTTACAGTGTTTTTCTGAACCATTTCTACTTATTTTGTTTTCCCTTATGGACCTATGCTAGGGTGTACAAACTTTATGGACTTGTTACCATTTGCAGTTACCATAAGTGCTTTATCTTCTCTATGCACAGGCTTAAACTTGACTGTTGTATGTTAGCATATTTTCTATGCAGCAGTTGGTCAACTTCAACTCAAAACACTGTTAAGTTTGTTACAAAGTTCATTTTATGAAAGTACTCTTGTAGCATGACAATTTTTAGAGCGACTGGTTAGCTACCTGAGCTCAAGCTTTTTTTTTTTTCCTTCACGTCTGAGATTTCTTTCTCTCATCCACTGAAATTATTGTGTGCTAAATTTGGGAAACAAGTCTATTCTAACTCATTAACCCAGTTGAAATTTAGGTCTGTCATCTTAATATATCATGCAGTAAAAGGAAGACTATAAAATGACCCACCTTTCATGCTGTGCCAGCATTGTCCTGCTTGTGCTGATGATGTCATTAGGTGTAGAGAATTTGCTTAAATTTAACCTAAAGTTTATCACACAGCTTAATGAGTCACATTGAAATATTCAGTAATTGAACTGCAAATCACTTTTAGTGACAAAAAGAGCTAAAAGCATGTCAGTGGCATGATGCTTGCCAAGCCAGATCTAGGCACCTAGGATAATTAAGGTATTTTAGTATGCAATTTACTGCCATAGTATCAAAGGTCAGTAACGGTGTTCTTTCTTTCTTCAAGCTTAAGCATACCTTTAAAGATAACTTGCATGAATTACTTTGGTCTCAATTATTTGTCACCATAGTTAAACACAAAAGGTTGCAGTGCTTCCTGTTCTCTTACTGAAAGTTAGCTCTTCTTTCTTTACTTTTTTTTTTTTGATTTTTTTTTTTTAACAGTTTTGCTAATGCCACAGAAAGGGCTCTTTTAACTGAAGAAAAGATAAGTGAAAAGTACTAAAAAAAGATTCAGGTAATTATCATTCAGCACTTTACTGTTACTCAGAATAAAATTTATGATGGCATATTTGCCCTGCAAATGTCTTAACAAAATTGTTCTGAATAAAAACTCCTTATTGGTTTGACAAAAATTCAGTTGACCTGTGAATTTAATGAGCTGGATCACTCGGATTTTTGTGTTCACATTTTATTCTGAGGGTTGATGTAATGGTATTTAAGGAGTCATCATTGCAAACAGTCAGTCACATTAGGTTTATTTCATCATCAGTAAAATAGTATTGAAGAGTAGTAAATAAAACAGCGTTAGACTTACTTTCTGGTTAAATAATTGAGGTTTAATTTTTTAAAAGATATCCTTATTTTACTAGATTGTAAACTTGATTTCACCTTTGAAAAAGGTCTGGATATAGATGGTTGTTCTCCAACCTTTGGCTGAAGAGATTTAAATATTTACCATGGGCAAATTTGATGAAATATTTGAACTGCCAGATAATAAGAAAATTTGTAATTTAGACAAATATTCTAGAAATATCAGACATCAGTATTTTGAAATCATTGACTCTAACCTTGGGATATAATGCATAGATACATGCATGAGCTACTTTTTTTTTTAAAAAAAGGAAAGCTTTGCAAGTAGAGTAAATTTATATTAGTTGATCTCAATTTTGAGATAAAAGATGAGCAACTGGATTTTTAAGAGGTTTAATATTTCTCCCTCCTTTTTTGGGAGGGGTAGGAGGGCCTACATGCTTTTATAGTCAGGCACATCTCACAGTGTTTTGCAGGTAAACTCGAATTGTGCAACTAGTATAAAATAAGGATTTCTTTACATAGCGTTTTCCACCTCTAAATATAGATAACTTAGAACTGTCCTTCAGTCTTTATAACTGAAATGCCTTATTTCCCTTAGGATACAATTCTCCTGTTTGCCGTCTCCCCAAATGCCATTAGGAGCGCTTGAAAAATCAGTAAACTGATTTTAATAACTAAAAATTGTCCATGATTTTATTTTAGAGGAGGTTGGTTAATAAACGTGATCTCAGACACCACTTAGGCATGTGTCAGAAAGTATTCTCAAAATTGTGAGACTGAATAAAAAAAAACCAAAACAACTTATTTTTTTAACCACAGATGACTAATAATGAGCTAAATGTACTCATTTGAATCAAACTAAACTTGACACTGTAGCATGGTGATGTTGGCTGGAGTTAATGTATAAGTTTTGATTATATTTCTATAAAAACGCCATTTTTAAGGCCTGCTGAATTTTAGATGTTCCACTATTGATCATTTCTATAAAAGAAATGGTCATTTTACTGAGATTAGATACCAGTCTACTTTATCAGGATAAGTGGAGTATAGATTTAAAGAATATTAATTTTCTTATCCATGAATCTGACAGGTGCATAAGCCCAAGAAGTCAGCATAAGATAATTTGGTGCCCAGTATGATTTTGAAGTTAAGTAACTGATCACTGGTAAAGTAACTACCTTAATGTATAATATTTTAGAGACCCCTATCTACTGTGACTTGGGAAAATTGTTAGGTTATATTTGAAAAGGTAACTCTTTAACATCATATTGCCCAACAGAAACTTTAGGTTGACTTTTACAGGTATAATAATCCTTATAATTAATTTTCTCAGAATTGTGGGAGCTGGATGAGGTAATAACCATATTCTTGTGCACTGTAACAGCAACATTATTGCTTGGAACTTTAACAATTTTAGAGTTAGATACTAAGGAAACTAATTGGTCATCTTTTTTTTTCTCTTTTTTTTTGCCCTTACATATCACTAAACAACTAGTTTCTCTCCCTTTTGTCAGTTCCCATTGTGTATTTTTCAAAAGAAGTACTGTATTCAGGTGCCAGCCAATAAATTGTCACACAATGGAAAATGATATGCCACAATATTCATTGTAAGGTTTAATAAAATTAAATTTGCACCAAGTACAAGTGTATTCTTATGAACTTAATACTTGACTGATGTTATATTTTGTTAGTGGACTCCTTCAAAAAACACTAATTTATGGGCAGTTAGAACTTGAGATAGCATTTATTATTACTACTTCTATGTAAAAAACAAAGATGATTAATGTACAGTTTATTCTAAATTTTTTTCCAGTAAAGACCAGAGAAATTGAAGATGGGAAGACTTTTGTTGTCAAATGTATGGGAGAGGGGTTGCTTTTAATCCTTGTTTTTTTAACTGGTTTGGTATTAAGTTTCAGAAGTGTGTCATAAATATATTAGTATGAAGGTAAGTTTTATAAATTTATTTCCATCCCTTTGAAATCATAAAATCTAGTACTGTTTGTCTTTTCCTTGTATGTAAGTTTCCCAATATAAAAATCTTTAATAGATCCAAAAAAATTTACTGGCCATAATTTCTAAGCTCCAAGCATAGATTGAAATATCCAGTTTAGTAGGCTTTCCCCTTTTAAATCACTAACCTGTCATGTTATAAAAAGTAGAGGCTCTGTCATCCTTTTCACAGGGCTGTATTAAACTAGATTTTTTTACCTTTGGTTCTGTGCTTGTCTCCTAATACCACCACCAATATTTAAAAGGAAATTTAAATTTATAAGGATAAGAATGTATTTTTGAGGATTTGAATCAAGGAAAGGCCTTATGTCCTCAAGGTATTCTATTTCTTCAAGATTTTTTTTTTACCCCCCCCTTCCCTACCTCCTCCCCGCTCCCATCTCTGTACTATCAGCAGGCTCTTTCTTGAGTAATATGGGTCGTGGGAGTTGTGAAATAATTGGTTCCTGGGTGCCATGTTACCTGACATTTTGTTTATTGTAAAGACTCTTTTAAATAAGATTTTCTTTAGTAAAATTAACTTAGCTTTGTAGAATTATCCGTTTGTTTTCTACTATAATATTTATGTCTGATGTTAAAAATAATACATTTCCCTGACCTAAAAAATTGAAAATTTAAACTTAGGAATACATTTAAAGCATGCACATTAAAGGATTAGATGAGTAGTAACACTAAAACAATTTAGGTGCTTTTTAATCACCGTATACTTTGGTGTAGGTCAAGGAATGTAGCGATTTAAAGTATTTGACTTTACTGCCAAAATTAAAAGTGGGGAAAAAAAAGATTTAGTCTGTTATAGAAAAGTTATTTCCAAAACTTTGCAGTAAACACTATCTTGTAAAGTGAGATCTATTTGATTTATTTTAAGACCTACTTGAGCCTTATTTGTTCATTTTTTCCTTTTTCTAAAGGACCAAATATAACAGGCAGGTTTATCCCTTGTTTACTAATAGACAACCAGTACTAATTGATCCTAGGATTGACGTTTAGTTTTAAAATCATTTCATCCTTGCAATTGAATGTAGATTATAAAACTATAAAGAATGCTTGTGATAATACTTAGTTCTAAAATTTAGCAGGCACCTTGATTTTTTTTAAACAAAATATTTAGTATACTCATTATAAGGGCTCAAGTTGAGACAAAAAAACCCAATGGCACCACAGCTTAATAAAACAGGTTTTCTACATAAAAGTCACAGAAAGGAGAGACCAGCTGAAGAAAAATAAAGACTGGACAGCCAGGTCAGGGCTCTTGGAGGGGACCTGCTCTGAGTATGTTTCTTGCAGGTGTTTTTTTTTTTTAAAGATTTTTATTGGGGGATTAGGGGATGGGAACAGACAAGTTGCTGTCCTTGTGTTCTTCAGTCTAGTTGTGGAGGACATTGCTTCACTGGCCCAAGTTCGCACCATCATTGCACTCTTCCTTGGCGAGGCAGATCAGTTGCGGGCTTCTGGACGGCCGCTCAAGGAGGCTGCTGGGTACACACGGTAGCCCATAGCAACCCACTGCAGCAGGGGCCATCATAGCCGGGGACTCACAGCAGCCCAGCTCCAGGTTGAGCTGTTGTTCAGCATCTTAGCTGTAGAGGGCAGTGTCACTGGCCCTCATATGTGAGATCCGAACCGGG